TTTAAAGCCATGTGCGGTCATATGTTTTTGATTTTTTAGTTAAAGTTAGGGTAAGGGTTGGTGTAGGGTTAAGGTAAAGATAGATCCTATAGTAAAATTGCCTCCCCGACATTTTTTATTAATGCCCAAAGATAGGTTTAGACACTCGTTTCTTGTATTTTTGACGGTTTTCACTTTTTTTGCTTCGTCGAGCTGATCCGTGTCGATCAAAACAAACAATTTTATTGGCTTTATATCACGTGACGCACATGGCTTTAAACGACCCCCTTTTTTGTCTTTTATCATAAATTTTCTCCAGTTACACAATGGTTTCCTATCATAATTTTTCCTAACTTCACAAGTTTTTTTTTTATAAATATAAAGAAATGTGCCAAAAAAAAAAAAAAAAAACTAATATAAGCTTTTGCTTTCAGACTTTAATCACTTCAAAATTTACTTTCTTGAAGACAACAGTCACTTTAAAAACCTTTTAGAAAAGCATTTTTTTTCAAAATTTTGCTTGTAACGAAGATTATATTCCTATTATTGTAAAAATTATTGTTATCGCAGAGTTTGACCCTTTTTTCAGTGCATATAAAACGATGCCTCAACAAAAAACACGTACTAATGCGACTTTAGCATGTATAAATTGTCAACGGAGACATGGAAGATGCAAAAGACTTCCTGGGGAGGACATCTGTACAAACTGTAAAGAATACAATCGAGACTGTATTTCTATTCCTGGTAACAAACGTGGACCAAAGTCGCGCAGACAAAATCCTGGGTTTACAAACTTTCAGCCTTTTTCAAATATTAACACTTGTATACCTAGTTTCGAAAATATCAGTGATAGCTTACACCCAGTATCAAGAGCAGCTTATATTCAATATCAACTTACGCCCGGTGTCGAGAGCTATTCATACCTGACACCAGAAGTTTACACTCAGTATCAACTCATCCCCAGTACCGAGAGTTATTCCTACCTAACGCCAGGAGTTTATACCCAATATCAAAAGCAAATTACTTCAAGTAATTTGGGCAGATTATACCCAGTATCCGGGACTACTGAAGTATTCCAAAATAGGTTCATTTATCAACCCTTCTCAAATCCTTTCTTTCCTCCTCTTGCTCACGAAGAACCTACATTAAATATTGATTCTTCAGCTATTAATGATTGTTTAACTATTAATGATCCTTCAGCTATTAATGATTGTTCAACTATTAATGATCCTTCAGCTATTAATGATTCTTCAACTATTAATGATCCTTCAGCTATTAATGATCCTTCAGCTATTATTTTGACGTTATTATCTAACCCTTTTAATTATTCCCGTTCTGGATAAAATATGCAAGCATGTGATTGTTGGAACTACTGGTCATATATAATTTTTTTTCTTTCGATTGATATATTCTTGTCATACTTATTTTCGCTACATTCTCTTTTTCGTTACATTCGATACATCCTCTTTACGTTAAAATATTTTTCTTTTTTATCACAAACGTTTTATTTATCGTAAATATTTTTTATCGCAAGCATTTTTATAAAACCATTTCCTTTCCGTCTTTATTATGAATATATTTATCATTTTTCAGTAATTTTTATAACAAATTCTATTTCATTATCACAAATACAAGCCTTTTTTCATTATGTTTTTATAACAGATTCTCTTTCATTATCACAAACAGAACTTTTCTTTCGTTATCACAAACATAAACTTTTCTTTCGTTATCACATACACAAACTTTTCTTTCGTTATCACAAACACAAACTTTTTTCATTACAGTTTTATAACAAATTCTCTCTCGTTATCACAGACACAAACTTTTTTTTATTACGATTTTGTACCAAATTTTCATTTGTTTATAATTACAAACATTTATTTTTTTTCACTGCAAAAAATTGCTTGTTATGAGTTTTTATTTATGCATTTTTATTGAAGTATTGTTTTTTTGTCTTGAACAGCACTATTGCTGTCTTAAGTGTAAAATATATAATCAAATCTATGTAATTTAAAATTTTTAAGGTATAGAAATAATAAATATAGTAATAAAAATATTAAAGAATTTTCATAAACTTACAACAAAGAATTAAATGTATACTTTCGATCATTACGGGGTTTCAAAGTTAAGAAAAAGTAGAAGTAGCGCATTTTAAAAGTAAATAGGAGTTTGAAAAATCTTATTTGCATTTCAAAATTTTAAAATCATAAAATGAAATGGGAGCTTTAAGGCACCTGTACCAGGTTGGGATCGGATGATCGTCTAGTTAGGTCGGAATGTTAAGAACATTCGGAACTAGAAACCAAAATTACGTATTTGCATTACATACTTATGTAAAAAGTTAAGAATCGATATTGTCATTAGCGTTAGCTTAGTATGAGATTTTTCATTTTTCTTTCTGAAGAAAGAGAGATGCAAAACATGTTACAGACACGTTTTTGATTTTATGAACAGGCTATTATTTAATTACAAGAAACCATCAAATTGAAATCTAAAACTTTGAATATGTCGAACCTATCTATGCCACTTCAGCAAATATTTCCGTTAGCTTATAAGTATCAGATTGAAAATTGCAATAATTATGAAGAAGATATTGAAATTGGTTTGTATTTTATTCATAATAGTTCAAATTTTGGTTAATAATTACATAGCGATAAAGATCTAAACAAGCATATGCCTGTTGAAAAGTTTTTTAAACGTATCGTTGGTGATATTAATTAACTTCTTAACAATATGGAATATTTCGAAAAAGGATATAACAAATCTAAATATTTAACGATGGGCAGGTTAGTGCCTTATCTATTTCAACAAGATTCCTATCACAGTCGAAGTAGATCAAAATTAGAGTTTTGCCGCATCAGTTTAAAAAAAAAGTACAGAATGAAAATATTAAGCTAATATGAAGAAGTATAATAAAAGATTAATCACAAAAAAGAGAGCAGTCAACTCTTTTCATAAAGAAAAGATTCTGGAAGAAAAAAAAGTTCGTTATCAAAAAATACTATATTTCATTAAAAACACATGGCACTTTTTATACCGAACTATTATGAAATTCAAAAATTTTGACTGTACTATACATAATTTATTGAAGAACGTCACAAAAAACAAACCAAATGGTTTTGACATTTTTATTAAAAAAAACATTACAAACGATGGAAATTGAGTTTTTGTTAGGCGTTAAAAAATATAACTAAATAAAGAAAGGGCACTGCTACTTTAAAGAGCACACTAAAATAAACCTGACAGATATAATTTTACTTGTGTGGGTTTTCTTGTTCAAGAGTTATTGCTATTATAAAAAAAATTGATTAATGATAATCACTATACCACCTGCACTATAGACTTTCATTTGACACCCCAATAACACAATGTATAAATTAAATTTTGAAAGTATGATTCGAAGATACAATATTAACGTTTAATGCATGAATCTATTCAAAATGATCAAATACATTATTCAAGATCTCATAATAGTTTCGTGCATTTTTAAATTTATTTCAAAGATAACAACCAAGAATTAGATAAAAACTAATAAGATACCAGGAACAGAGTATATAATCTTGAAGTATATGGCTTATAGGTTAACTTACCGTAGTAGCTTACAGTGCCCGTCAAAAGTTTCCTGCATCCAATAAAATCCTCAAAATCATGCTTAGCACCTTAAAATTTTTTGTGCTCAAACTTGATATCTTGTTACATGTGCATCAAAATTAAAAATATAAATACTTTAAAGATCTTGCATCTAAAAAAAGAGAAAAAGTTGTCTCCAAATAAATAATTGACGAAAATAACAAAATGCACAAAAAAAATTCCAATACATACTTTACTTTCAAACTTTAATCCCTTCAAAACTGTTCTTCGAATACAGCCATTGCAAAAATCCTTTTTTTTAAAAAATCTAAGGTCTTCATTTTGTTTTTACCAAATAAAGCATAAAATTACCATTGTCATTGTAGAATTTGACTTTTTTTGTAAAACAACATGCACGTTTAGTATTCTCTTAGAAACTATTTCAGATATGGCCATAGTACAATAAGTAATGAAACATAAATACTTGTGCATGATCAATATAGCAACGGTAAAATTAACGTTAATGCATATTAGTTTATACTACTTCTCTGACGAGAAATCGGCATACTTGTGATCTAGTTGCACATGATTCATATGCAAATGATTTGAGAATAACAGAAATTTTAATATATCTAGAGGGTACACCATCGGGGAAAGGATATAGTACAATTTGTAGAATCTAATATGCAATGCTCCATTATTAAACAGATAATCCGAATAAATCTCCGGCTAATAAAATCATGAACAGATATAGATATCAGATAGTTAAGATAATTATCTTTAGATCAAATTTAACGCTAGTTAATTTTTGATGCATTAGCGAAGCTTGACCTTTAAATGTATTAATTAACGGAATTTTAATACGGCTCATTCATATATACTTTAATAATTTCTACATCGAGATCGTTTCACGCCTACGAACTAACGCTAAAAAAATCTACAAACACGTATGTTGTTGATCTATAATGTATATACAACACTTTTTAATTCATATGCATCAGATATTTCATGGTTCATTGCTGCTGCGTTAAGAATAGTTTGTGGCTCTCCCACAAAAATTTCCCCTCGTGATTTTATCCAATTAGATCGAAAGATCAGGTGTAACGAAAAATCCTTAGATTTACGTTAGGGGAAATTTTTTGTGGGAGACAGGGACGTGTGGATTTTGTGATATAATTTAGCAAATTATGTTTTCGATATCAATAAATTATTTGATTTACTGCTGA